TAAGCGTATCCGCTGTTGGGGAATTGTAGTAAAAACAGGACTACTACTTGGAGCAGTAGCAGCATGGACGTAGTAGCATTGTTAATAAGTATTATCATTATTATTGTCATTGGTAGTAGTAGTAGTAGTAGTAGTAGTAGTAGTAGGGCGGCGAGCTTGCAATGCTGGTTTCGGCCCCCGAGTCGCCAAGGAACAGTTCCAAGCCGAGTTCCGAAGTGCCGTCGATCGAGAGGCGGCACAGGGAAGTGGGGTTTAGGGTTTAGGGTTTAGGGTTTAGGGGCCCCAGTCTGGTGAACAAGGTGTTAATTGGAGAGAGAGAGAGAGAGAGAGAGAGAGAGAGGGCGAGAATAAGAGAGCCGAAGTAGAGCGTGACAGAACGAGTTCTTGAGTGATGGCCGTGTTTCCGGAAACGTTTTGGTCATGTTGGGGCAAGGCAAGGCCTGTTGTTGGACAGGCCCGCCGAAGGTTCTGGCTCGAGCCGGAGTTCGATTTTAGGGTTTAGGCTCTAGGGTTTGGGGTTTAGGGTTCTTGTACAGCAACACCTAGATGTTCGCCCATGCAACCAACTAATCCAGAAACAGAAGATGTCATCGCCGTCGCACCAACTTCCCCGAAGCCATGGGCCCAAGTCCCGAACCCAACCTTATTAGCCCAACCTTATCAGCCCTAAACTCTAAACTCAAAATCCTACAAGCCCTCAGCCCAAAACCCTAAACCTAACAAGCCCTCAACCCGTGATCAAAGCCAGGCGCGTGCGGACTTGGTGGAGAAGCGCAAGCAGACGGAGACCGAGCTGGAGGCTTCCCCGTCGCTCGCACTGTGCATGAAAGAAGCAGAATGATTGCAGTACTGGAGGGTTGTACAATGTGACCCAAAATTCCGTTCTTATGATGAATGAAGGACCTAGTCATGGTGAGGAACATCCTGTCAATAGTACTGTCAACAGTAGTCTCAGTCCTTTCTTTCTACTTGTTACTGCTATACCCTCAAGTCCGTCCCTAAACCCTAAACCCTAAACCCGTCATCCACGGAGCATGGTGCTCGGTCGGCGTCGTCTCGGCGCGCGAGGTGCAGCTCGTCAAGCGAAGCATCGAGAAGCTGAGGCCCCCACCTTGGTGATCACGTCCCCCGATTCGTCGTCCTCGTAATTTTGGTAGGGCTTAGGGTTTAGGGTTTAGGGAGTGGTGGAGGTAGCAGCAGGACGACCTGGAGCAGAAGCAAAGGAAGGCGGCAGAGGAGGTGGAGCAGTCGTCATCATCGTCGTCGACCACTATTACTACAATTACCACTACAAGAGCAAGAACAACAACCACTGCTGCTGCTGCTGCTGCTGGTGCTGTCACTTCTTCTGCCTCTGCTGCTGCTTCTGCTTCTGCTGCTACCGCTAGTGTTACTGCCTCTGCTGCATGGGATACTGGTGCCTCTGCCAGTATTGACGATTCGCAGCACCAGCACTACCGTCACCACCACGACCATGACCACCATCCAAAGCCCTCCAGGCTCCAACACCAAGAAACTTGAACTCCGAACTCCCAAAGCCACAAAAAGCCCCAGCTACCGCGAGCTTCGAGGTGGGAGGAGGAGCGGAAAACCATCGAGCGCCGCGGCGAGGCAGGGGCTTCCCGACACTCGCACTTCTGAAAGTAGGCTCGGGGCTGCAAGCGCCTTTGGGACGTAGATTCGAACTGCACAGAATGCAGAGCTAAGATCTAGTCCACGGCTTTGGGCCTGATGGTCAAACATGTCTAGTATGTCGCTCTTGTGTCATTTCCGCGGTCTGTCCAGGAGGAGCGGAAAAGCGATGATCACAGCACGCCTCCGGGTTGCAATGGCACGGTCAAGAATTCACGTCTGCTGCAGAGAGAGGAAGTACATGCATACTTGTACATCACCTGCAGATATTATGCAACCTTTCCGCAAAGATCAAGGTTTTTGAGTAACTTACACTCAGCCGTTGCTCACTGCATGAAACCGAGTCCTACCTCGTCGCAGCCCGCTGCCTCCCTCCAAACACATTGCAGATGCCAGTTGCGGTTGCGATCATGACTGTGTCAGGCGTGACGTTTGTGCGAGACATGTTCCTAGGTAAGTTTTGTACTCCCAGCTACAATTCCTTCCACATGTCATTCCCACCCATGTCCCAAAAAGTCGCAACAATCTTCGATCTAGGTCTATGGGGAAGTTCAAGCGGCCGCGTTGAACTTCAGTAGGGTCAGGTTGACGATCCACTGCAAGACCGACCAACAAATCTGCGATCAAGTTCCCTATTGAAGTCCAGCCGGCCCTATTGAAATCCAACAGTTTCAGTCTTATTGACTCGTCTTGGCCTATGAGCGGGGCAACCGCGTTTGTAATGTATATACACATCACACACATCACACTGCAAATGAGCAGACATGAGATGGATGTATGTATGTATGCATGCATCTATCTATCTGTCTGTCAATCTATCTGTCTGTCCATCCGTCTATCTATCTAGCTACCTACCTATCTATATATCTATCTACTTATCTATCGATCTATCGGTTTATCTATCTATGTATCTATCTATCTATCTACCTATCTATCTATCTATCTATCTATCTACCTATCTATCTATCTATCTATCTATCTATTTACCCATCTATCTATCTACCTATCTATCTATCTTTCTATCTGTCGGTCTATCTATCTATCCATCTACCTATCTATCTATATCTATCTACCTACCTAGCTATCTATCTATCTATCTATCTATCTGACTAATTTAATCTAGTCTAATCTAATGTAATGTAATCTAGTCTAATCTAATCTAGTCTAGCTAGCTAGCTAGCTA